ACTGATGCATCCAAATTAATAGCTAACGAACCGTATAAATAGAGGCCTGTTTATTGGCTTCTTAGTTTTTAATATCAACTGACGAAGATCGGAGGTTTCTGATCGAAACGTCTTGTAAAAACTCTTTTATAAACGTGATTACGTTTTTTACATAGCTAGTGACAAGAAACTTTTAATCTTTTAATATATAAATATGAATCCTAGCTGCAATTTTAGCATTTTTCGATATATATATATATATATATATATATATATATATATATATATATATATATATATATATATATATATATATATATATATATATATATATATATATATATACAATTCTAAATACAACTAAAAACGTTGTTTTAATCCACATTTTTAATAACGTGCCTACTCTAACCTATGCCGTGCTCTAACCTATGCCTGCACCTAGTGGTCTAGGTTGTGGGAGACCCTAAATAGTTCTTGCAGTGTCTTTTTCTATTTGAAACTTTACACTATCCTTGGATCCCTAGTTTACCATTCTGTAATGCTTCCTCAAATTGGTGATCAAATTGTCATTTTTGGCTAAAATACGGTAAATTTGAGAAGTATTGCCCCTTCTTAAGGTCATATTGTAGCTTAGAATTCAATGCTCAAATCGCATTTCCGGGGTTCTAATTTTGAAAATTTTCAGCGGGGGGGCATGCCCCCAGGCCCCCCTAGAAAGCCTCGCACCTTCGCCGCTCGAAGCATGACCATGAATTTTTGGCTGGCTTCGCCACTGGTTACAACCCAATACTTTATTGCATACAACGGCATCACAACGTCAATAAATTATTGGTTACAACGTGCGTGCGGTACGGGTGGAAATTCTCGATACCCACTAGCAAGTAATGTAATAGATGCAGCTATCGCACAAACGAGAAACACAGGTACAGCAAAAATTGTGGCGGTCAGATGATCTTCTAAAATTCCTGGCAAATGACTTTTCTATAACGTCAACTCGTGGGGTGTTTGCAGGCAGTGTCGTTGCTGGGCTATTAATTATTAAACGCTTGGACTAAAAAAAGACTGGTTGCGCTAAATTTCGCATAACAATTTTCAGGCGAAGAGCTCATAAAATGTGTATTTTTTTCTAATTAAGCGAGTTGTTTCTGAAACCGATTGAGCATCATTTAAATCAGATGATTAAAGAGTCCACAACTGGAAAACCCTCGTTACTAATCATTCCACAAGAAAATACCTTCAATATTCCTTATGCAGCATTACGATTGAATGGGGACCATCTTTGCCACCAAGTGACGTTACTCGAGGCATTCTCTTTACATTCTTTCATTCACTCCACCACACGAATGAAATCCACCAAAGAGCCCGAGGACAGCGATCAAATGGAAGAATCACTTATTGTCGGGAACCCAACCAATGACCTCCCTGAACTGCCACGTGCTCAACAAGAAGCAGAAATGATTGCTCGAATCCTTGGTGTCACCCCACTCATCGGGCGTTTGGCAACACGTTGCGAAGTAGTAAGTCGCCTTGAGTCAGCAGCAATAATTCATTTTGCTTGCCATGGTAGTAATGATGGACGAAGCTTATTTTTGGCGCCAGAAAAAGAATGGTAAGCAGTTTAAATAATTCTTTAGTTTAACCCATAGAAATTGTTTGACCAAAATTTGGGAGACGATAAACTGCGATGTTACCAGCTTGAACTTGCGAAGAGTCGAAGACTCTTTTCCATATGTTTCACTCAGTTATTGCGATATATTTTATCCTCGAGGGGCGAGAATACTAATTCCGGTGGGCTATTAGCACCCACACTAACAGTTATATTTTACGCATCTATAAATGCAAGTATATTTCTTGATGACTTTAAGATTGCAATTATTTCACCATTGCTATAATTATAGACCAATCTCTGTTCTATCCACACAGTAAACACTACCTACTTTTGTGTTGCGATTCATGATTGTTCGAACTATCACCACCAGTTTGTGTTTCAGCATGCTGTATAACAAACATACTTGCGGGCGTGGGTTACCATGTGTGGTTCGGTGGGTGGTCATCTTACTGATCTCAAAATATGGCTGTTTGCCAGGAGTGGAGAAGGCAAAAAAATAAAAAATACATATACGAAAGCTGGGGAAATTGTTTCACATATCAAATTCTAAAACTTTTTTACAAATTTAATCGTGAACATTTATAAGAATTAATTAAGAATGAGAAATCTTAGTATAGCGCAATTTTGTTTCAATAGTTTATGTATCACTTTGTATTAATATAGACTTTGTTGTTGATGTTGAAGTCTTTCCTATATATGCATTGTTTGCAAAAGTTTCTTGGTTAAATTAACTTTTGTAGATGTTCATGATAAAAAGGAAAGCAAATTATTTTCATTACCGTCCTATACGAATTAAATTTTTATTTCACTTCAAAGTGCTAGTAATATGTTGAAGCTTGAGTTGGAGAGTTTATCAATATCGGCAAAAAGCAGTTAATTTCAATTTACATTTAAAAACGTTTTACGTAGAATTTCGTTTTGAATTTTACATTAAAATAAAGCGCATACAAACCAAAATAATATACCTACTTTATATATTTTAGAAATTGATAGTTCTGTATTTAAAAGTGTTCTAATTTCATCCATTTTTTGCAGGTTTATACCAAAAATTTAAAAAAACAATGATCGTCTTGCCATCATGACTAACATGACGTGCAACGCGAGCCTGCGTTCAGTGTTGGCGTAATTACGAATACTTCGTGTTAAATCAATGTTTGGGAAATACAGACGAGGGGTTGTTGCATGCATGTATTTCTAGTTAAGAATGTATTTGAAATTTCACATTTTTTAACTGTAATAAAGTTTAAGACAAATTTCTAAGAAAAACGTGTCGACAGGAGCCCACAACAAATTTTAACGCCGCTAACATAACATGCGCTGTCAAGGGATTCGATGAGATGTGTTAACAAAGTCCTATCGTCACATTTTGTGGATAATAATTGTAACTAATATGATAGAATTAATTCCTCGTGGCAGAAAAAGAGCTGCGTAACAAAATTTAGAATGAGTAGCAGGTTGGGTAAATGAAAAACAAAATATCTCAAGCCGGGTTGGGTAATAAACGTTTATTGTCATTTCTAAAGCATGACTCGCTCAAATATTGAAGATTAAAAAGCAATGTCAACGGTCATATGTCAATACCATACATGAATTAATTAAAGTCACTATCTTGATCCTTTTCCGACTTGCCAGGAGGCAAGTGGTGTCATAACCTGTGTCGCAGATCTTACTAATTATAAGGTCTGTGACACAGGCAAATATATGGTGTCTCTCGCTAAAGAATTAGTACATGTGCAGGCAATATGAATATTTAGACTACAGAAAGTTACACAAGTAATTATCAAACCCGTATCACAGAAGTGGTAAAAGTTTCTCTTTCTAACGTTTTCGACCAGTGGTTGGTATTTTTTTTTAATTGATATTTGACGTTGGTTGAGACATTTTTTGACATTTTAATGGTTGGATCAGCAATATTTTACCGCAAAAAAAATTTCTCTTCGGTCTTCCCCCCAGGGTCGTAGCTAGACCGATAATTGGGGGGGGGAGTGCATATTCATATAGTCGTGTTCTGCCCGGTGGGTTTCTTTTGCAAGCGATTGCTTTTCGCGGGCTAGCCATTATGTAACGCTAAAAATTGTGTAAGAGTTGTGACGGAAATTGTCGTCTCTACTTCGGAAAATGTCGTTCATGCCATGACTCGGCAAAATTTATGTCCGCGATTTTTACAAAATCACAGTTCAACAATTGGCAACGCTGGCAGAAATACTCGAAGGAATTTTTCACCTAAACGGAAATTTGATTTGTGTTATTTCAATCGACATTTGTGTTTATAAATTGTGAATCTGGCATTTATAATGATAAAAACATTGCAATTTATGTCTACTCTGGACTCTGCCTCTGGTCAAAGAGATTTTGATATGGTACGCTTCATATAAAGCTTTATAATCCTGTTTATATTAACCAAAAGTGCTTGCACAGATCTTGAATTTTAATATACCATTGTGCGGGTATTAAAATAAGAAGCAAACCCATTGCTGCGGCATTATATTGTAACTGCCCTATCAACTTGCAGGTCATGATTAAGGCCGGCAAGAGGCAACTACGGACCCTGGGACAAATGGGGAGCATGGGCCCCCAGTCTCTCTTCACTCTCGCGATGATGACCGCACCAAAGTCTATGTTTTAATCGCAATCAACAAGGGAATCACCTGCGAATTACCTGTAGTACCAAGAAATCACTTGAGAATTTCCGTGCCGATGACGCGTGTGGCGTGCATGCATGTTACCGTACCAGCAGATAGACGTAATAAATTTGTTCATTTTAGGTAAATACCTCATTTCATCTCATAACTGATAAAGATGCGATGTGAACGATCTTTGGCGAACTGTTTTTGCAGAAAAAAACGATCGAAAAATTGTTTATTTCATATTTGGTACGTTTTACAATCGATCACGACGATCAGCGGATAACGTGCAAGTAGGTGTATTTCATTTAGGACAAACATATAGCGATGATAAACGATACGAAAATTTTCCGTGATTTCCGGGCCTCTCTGAGGACTCCGAACCCCGGGTATTTTGTCCCCCTTCCCTGTCCCCTGCTCTCGCCGGCCTTGGCAGGTATAACTGAACTACATTATCATTAAACACTCAAAACAGGCTGTACGTACTATTTTATATTAATATTGTAGTCACTGACATTGCTCTGACTGCAAAGATTTGTGCTATTGTTGAGATCTATTATTGTTGAAGGATTGTCTTTCACTTAAATTCTCACACAGTGCAATGGAAGCTCAGTCTGTTTACGTATAGTTGGAGGATCTTTTAGATGGAAATAATCGATATTTTGCAGTCCTGGAGCTTCAAACATGTAAAAAAAATTTTGGGGTGGGGGGTCACTTTGTCTTTGGAAAATTAGAATGACAGTGGAAATCAATCAGAAAAAGCTCTTTATATAATTACTACACATCAGGTAAATTTTTACCTTGGAGTTAAAATTTCAGGTAAAATCCTCCGACACCCTTCCTCCAACTTCAGATGCCTTGCTACGTTCCTGAAGATCAGTGCAATTACCATACAACACTGAACCTTGCAGTTGTGAGGGTATATGGAAAAACAAACCCACAGCCATTGTGCGGAGATCACATCGACAATTTTCAACCTTTCTTTCCATCATTTAACAGCAGTGTCAGTTCAGTAGCGTGTTCATACTTTTAGAGCTAGAGTTAAATGATGTTTTGTTTAAATTTATACCTGCATCATTTACAAAATTTCAGTCTTACGATCTGCCCTAAATATTTTGTTCTTTTTAAACAATTCCCAGATAAAAGCATGATTCAAAATCACGGTGATGCATAACATCTACAGTACTTCAAACAACTAAGTAGGGCAATGAATTACTGGATTGTTCAGACATGCATTAACAATACCTCTTACTGCATTTTTTGCAGAGTGAATATTTACTGGATTGTTTAGACATGCATTAACAATACTTCTTACTGTATTTTTTGCAGAGTGAAATTTTGAAAAGCAATAAATTGACAGCATTAGTTGCTCTATATACTTATTGTTAATACAAAACATTTATTAATTAAAGTATGACTCAATAATATTGTTGGCTGCACCATTGCTGTCAACCATTGCTTTTAAATTGAGTGATTGCTGTAGCCATTTGTTTGCGTTGTCTTGAAAGATATATATTGCATCTGTTTCATTTTGACCATTATTCTATTGTAATTATTAATTTTGTATCACAATGAATGTTTGTGATAAATGTTTATGACAATGTGAACTCCATGCAACTCTATTAAACACGCTGAATATAGGCTAGCCACATGTACGCAATGCATACCTTTTTTACGGTATGCGAACAGGAATATATGAATATACACCCCCCCCCC